AAACATTAATTATGTAACATTTTACTCAATTAATAAAGATCACGAGAAATGCCTCACTTAACACTTTAAAAAAACAAAATAGTACAAATATCGTAACCGATTTAGATAATGTTATAGCAATATTAGATATTAATAAATTATCAAGTGTTATAACAGACAATACATCGGTTATGAAGAAATCTCATGGCAAATTTTAGAAAAAAAATATCCGAAAGTTATTTTTATAGGATGCTTAGCCCATAATTTAAATTTACTTATTAAAGATATTACAAAATTAGAATAGGCACAGAATATTTTAACAAATTCAATGTTGATTATTAAATATTTCAAAAAACATATAATTCCAATCGCAATTTTACATTGTTATCAAGTGATTAAATATGGATCAAAATTTAAAACTTTGAAATTACCAACTAAAACAAGATGAGATTCTGCAGCAATTTGTTTAGATTCAATTAAATATAATCAATTGGCTATTAGTTTGGCAACTATAGAAATTAATAATGATTCAACAATTACAATAGATCTGGAAATTAAGTCAATAATCAACAATGAAAATTTTTGGAATACAGTTTAAGATTTATTAAATATCTTAAAAATTTTAGCAAATGGAATTACATTATTTGAAAGTTATTCTTTATATTTATCAGAATTTTATAAATAGTATGAGGATTTTGAAAATAACGAATGTAAGTAGTAATTATTATAATTTATATATATTTATTCTTAAATTAACTAATAATTTATTTTTTATAGTTATTAAAAAAAGTTTATATTCAGATGAAATTCTTGATTTAATTATAAAAAGATGGAACAAACTATATAATTCTGTAATAAAAGTGGCATATCTTTTAAATTCGAAATCTCAAGGTCAAAAATTAGCCAATGATATAATAACAACAATATCAGATTTTATTGAAAAATATTATCCTGAAACTTGTACGACTATCTATATACAACTTTTACAATATCGGGCTCATTCTGGTCTATTTAATAGTTCTATGGCTTAGAAAACAATCAATAATATTGATCTGATTACTTGGTGGACAGAAAATTTTAATTATTCAACTCCAGAACTTACACAATTTGCAAAACAGATTTTATCTATTTCTACATCATCAGCATCATTTGAACGAAATTGGTCAGCATTTGCACATATTCACTCAAAAAATAGAAATAGACTTAAATCTTCACGTGTATTAGAATTAGTTTATATCTATAGTAATCACAAATTACAAGAATCGCAATTTATATATAAGCAACAATTAAAAAATACTGAAAATAATAATGATAATAATGATTTAGAAGAAATTAATAATAATAATAGAAATAATATAGAATATAAGTTTGAAAGTGATTTTTATGAAAGCGAATATGATTAAGAAGAGGGTAGTGATGGTGAAAAACAAGATGTTAATAGTGAAAGTAGCAATGATATTCTTTAATTAGTATATGTATTATAAAAAATATCAGTTATTAATAAAATTTTTGTGCGCAGGATCTAAAATTTTCACACGCATAATGCGCATAATTCTGCATAAAATTCTGCGCATATCCGCGCGTTGCCCATCCCTAGGCGTTTTGTATTGATTAATTGATATATTTGACAATTGTTTTTTGTTCTTGATTATACATTTTTAGTAAGTGGTAAAAGAGGCGATAAAAAAAAGAATAGAAAAGAATAATAACAGGTAAGACAGAACTGAAATTAGGATTTTGCCCACCTCCCTTCTACGTTTAGGATTTTCACGTGACTAGCGTCGCGTTCGTTACACCAACACCAGAGTTTACTAATTTTTCCACTGGATTTTTGATTACCAATCATTTACGCATTACATACTGAATGTTCGTGCAACCAGCTTTTCATATTAAATACCGAATACAAAAGAATCGACTTTATTCATCCCTTCTATCTTCACAATAATTTCTTACATTATCAATTTATAAGATTTTTCAATGGCGTGGTATGAAAGATATCCAGATTTACTCCATGCTTCCGATTCTGAGGCTGAAGATTATTTAATGGTTACACAGAGCAGCGAGACTCGACAATTAAAACGCAAACGCTCTGAAAATAATGATAGAAAAAGTATTTGTTGGAATTATTTCGAAGAACCAAAAGAAATGGGAGCAGAAATAAAATGTACGATTGCTGGATGTACTACAAAATATACCTGGCACGGATCTACTTCTAATCTTGTTAGCCATCTTAAGACTAAGCATAATATAACAAAACCTTTGGAATCTACATCGGCTATTCAGTCATCCTCAACAAATAACAACTCTATTATCTCTGAATTAGAAATCAATCTACCACTAATTAATTTTATAGTATCATCTTTATTACCTTTTAGTGTTGTCGATGATTTAAAATCTGCTGGACTTGCTAATTCACAAATTGAACAATCTAGTTCTAACCTCATAAAAATACAAACAAATGAAATATATGATCACTTGTTCTCTCAATTAATATTGCTGGCCCATCAAGCAAAAACTATAGTGGTTTCGCGTTATTTTAGCAAAAAACCTTGTGGAGAATTCTATGTAGTAATTACTTATTGTTGGATGAACGAGGATTTTGATTTTCATAGAATCTTATTAAGTGTGAAAAGATTTTTTGAAAAAGAGAAATATGAAAAGAATAATATTTCCGAATATATTACCAGTACCATAGATAAATGGAAATTAGCTAATTTAAGATCTATTAGGTGTGATAATTATGACATTAAAGACGTTTATTTTCCAAAATATGAAATTTACAAAGACCACCCACAAAACGAATTATTAAGCAACAGTCTATTATCATGGAAGAATTCTATAGCAACATCTAATAATATTGAAAAATCTTTTTCTAATATTTTCATAGGGACTGATGAGTTAAAAGAAAAGTTGCAAAACATAAAAGCAATAATTCCTTCAACAATCAATGATATCGAAACTGCCGAAAAAATTAAATGTCATTGCGATTATCATTGTATAGAGTTTATTAGATTAATGGAACAGCCTATTAGGTCATTGGTGGACACCGAAATCGGGGAGTTTTGTAATGAATATTTATTAAATTACTTACCATTTAGCATATTTCCTAAACTTCTAGATTTGTTTAGGCCTCTAGAACACTCTGGAAATGATTTTGATTATTGTCTCTCTAGAAAAGATTTTCGTGATATATTAGTCAATATAGTTAATGCATTATATGAACCTCCTCAAATCATTGATTTAGAGCACGACAGAATCCTGAAATCTTTTTTGAGTTCATTTATTAGTTATTTCTTAGGGAATAAAGACACATGCATTGGATTATTTTTAGATCCGCGTCTTAAATCAAGTTCGAAATCGAGTCATTTTTTTGATGTAAGTTATTTGCTTATATATTTTGATTTAACTAATATTATATTAATATCGTTTTATATAACATGCATCTAGGATATTAGAGAATATGCACTAAACTCATGCCAAGAATATTATTTAGAATATACGGTTTCTAATAGTAATTTAGACAAGACAGAACAGGAATCGGCAAAAGATGAATTAAACCATTATATTGGTTGTTCATTCATACTGACAAACGAAAATAAGGATCTGTGTGAATGGTGGAAAAAATCAAAGCTTGTTTTTCCTGGACTAGCGAATCTTGCAAGAGAATATTTTCCAGCATTATTGGTCGATGGATATACTCTTTATGGAGACAATATAATATGGAATCTTGATAGATTAGCAGCAATTTATGATGATGAATTAAACGAGATGGCCATCTTGCATTACAATATGAAGCATATCAATGCTTAAAATTTTTTTCCTTTTTAATCACTTAGATATTATAACGAAAAATATTTCCCACATGTTTAGTAATAAAATATATTTTTACCTTTGAATTGTTAAAAATACTTTAATAACAAAAAAAATTAACCTAAAATATTATACATTTATGCATGTATATCATTTCATGAAAGACAAATTACAAAGAATAAATTTTTGTAGAATTTTTATTACTTTTGTCAAAATTTTAGAAATTTCTGTCGATCCACTCAAATTTTGATGAAAATATTATTTCTTCAAAAAAAAAATATCATGTCTAGTGTTGGCGTGGAAGTTTGCAAGTCAGTCGCCTCTCTCGCGTAGTACCAAGGTAAATATATTCTTTTATTTTCGGAGGCGTGGGATTTGAATCGACAGAATTTCTCTTTGCTAACAGACTTTCCTTTCTTTCTTTCGCCGATTTTCCTCATGATAAATTACTCTGGGACAACAGGTACTGAAAAAGATAAGTTCGTTTGTTTTTTCTTTCTTCTTTTTGTCCTACATTTATGTAAATAAACGTTTTTGGAATTAGTAATAATAAACTAACAAAATAAATCTAAAATCCATTAACTGCATCATCATTACATATTAAACCAAAACCCTAGCCCGACACGACCGCGCCTCAATAAATTTTATTGTCAATCAAGTAGTAAGGTAGATATATTACAAGTATTTTGTGAGAAGTTATTTAATACTAGATCCAAAAAAGAAAGAAGAAACAATTGGATTTTGATAGTCTTCAGTCGGGACCCTCGTCACGCCCTTCTAATGAAATTTAGATCAAGCATTCAGAAAAAACCGTAACTCAAGCTGGAGATGCAATAGTACTAATATTCAATGAAAGACAGTGAAAAGGACTCAAATCCTTAGCTAATTGTGATTCATGACCCCAAGTATATGTTATTGTTGCAAATTTAATAGTAAATGTCACGATTGGTTTTGCATTTTTAAAAGCAAACATAAAGATAACCGTGAAAAACAATCAAAAGACTAAAAGATATGAATGCAAGGAATATATTAAACTTTTTTATTTACAGCTAATTGGGACAAAGAAGATTAAGTTTATAATTAACAAGTTGTATGCTCTAAGATATATGTACGTCTTTGAGGAGAAAACCGAAATATTTCTATTTGAAAGGACAAAGGCAGAAAACGATGTTTGATACTTTATTGTCTAAAATTTAAAATCGCATTCTTTAAAACTATACTTAATAAAAAAACTTTGTGATCCTATTCCCAAAGAGAGAATGTATATATATTAACGACTAGCGTGTTAGCCGGGTTATGTTATTTCATATATTAAAATATATACTTATTGTATTAAATTTAGTGTTCAGAATGAGTCGGTTCGGTTCGGGTTCGAGTTAAACCCAATGTGACTAGGGATGTTAAAAAGCCAATATAAACTACTTTTTGGAACCAAAGAACTGGGTCCCAAATTCACATGACTAATTTTTAAGCTGTCTTGTCTGAACTAGGAACTGAGTCCTAATTTTGGGATCTCGGTTCAAAATCACGAGAATAATTACATAAATATAAATGTTATATATGAATAGCGAAATCATTTTATTTATTAAATATGATATTGCATATGTACAAATGTTTTGCAAAAATGATATCATTATCATTAAATCAACAAAGATATAAATAAATTAGGTTTTTTATAATTTTTATAATTTTTCTTTTAATGTCACATTCGAACTTATATCGTCAATTCTTCTGTTGAGAATTCATTTGAAGAATTCAGTAACTCAACCCAGAAGTTTAATAAAAAACAACATCTTTCACTAGTTCGTAAATTTATTAACGAAATTGAAAATGGTATTCAAATATGCAAATTTTGTGATAATCAATGGGAAACAAACACATTGATCTTAATAATAACGTGCCGTTTTGAAAGAAAATATCCGCTCATACAAAGATTTTTTTAAAAAAACAACTCATCCTTCTCTATACTCGACATCTAATAATTCGCATGTTAAGTATTTGAATAATTATTTATTAAATTGGATCATTCTTAATCAACAGTCTTTTTCGGTAATTGAGCATAATTCTTTTGTGAAGCTAGTTTCTAATTTTGATCTGGGCCATCAAACATTTTCAATAAATATTCAAAGGAAATTTAAATTAGCTAGAGTAAAAATCAAAAAAATATTGAAAATTAATCAAAGCAAATTAGCACTAACCTTAGATGTTTGGACTGTATGTATTCAACAATTATTTATTGGAATTATAGTCCATTAGATTGATACTGAATGGACTATAAGAACTTTTGTTTTTGAAGAAAGGTTCTTGAACTTATGAAGGACCTAGAAATAAAGGAGAAAGTAATTAGTTTTACTAGGGATAATGTTACAAACGATCAAATTTGTTTGTTTTACCTTTGTAAATCTGCCAATCCAGATTTTGCTTATGTTTATTGCACAACATATGCCTTGAATTGTGTTGTTAATAAAGAATAAAATAATTATATTAAACAAACAAATAAAATATAACATATACTTTATGTATCAAAATTAGAAACTCTTTTTTTCTTTTGAAGAAAATTAAAACCATTCTAAATATTACTTTCTTTGTCTTGAACTTAATATTAATACTAGTCGAACTCAACTTACTTGATGCTTGAATGGCTTATTAAAATTCAAGTATTATTAATAGTCTTATACAGTTCTGGTCAAATTTAAAAGATTTAGAAATCGATAACGGCAAAATAATTAGCTTAAGTGGTTTAATAAATAAAAAATTAAATAAAAAGTTAAAATTAAAAATTATAATATACCAACGTATCTTATAATAAATAGTGGTTACTTTTTTAAAGCCTTTTTATAAGGCAACACTAATCCTATCAGACACTTTAAAACCTATCTATGGATCCTTATAATTAATAAGTTAAGGCTTTTTGATACATCTCAACTGTAATTTCCAATATATTAATAAGAATTATAAAACAGTTCAAGCAATAAAGAAAAAGATATCTAATTATTAAACTAGTTACCTTTTTACAATCTTTTGTCATTCTTGCACTTTTTAATTTTTTATTAAAATTTCAAATCTTTTATAATAATGGTTGCCAGTTTACTATTGATCAAATCAAAATTTTTTATTTTACTTATTATATAAGTAATATAAAGGCTTCATATTAAAAGAATCTTTAAAAATTTTTTTTGAGAAATAATGCAAATAAAAAAGAAAAATAAAACAAGTAAACTAATAACCTACTTTTCTTTATTTTTTGAACTGATAGTTAATCCTTTATTGTAGTGGAATACTAATAACTGTTATTTTTTAATCTTTGCTCTTGTAACAACAAATTGCCTTTTATTATAGTTTACAAGTATTCCTTGTAAACATGTTTTTTCTATAGCAAAAAATATTATAAAATCTATAAAAAAATCAATTTATTAAACAAACAATAAGATTATTATGTTTAAAAAGTTGGTTTAAAGTATAAATTCTAAATAAAATGTTATATTATTTACTCCAATAACTTCTTATAAAATATAATAATTTATATAAAATGCAAATATAACAATTTATATACGGTATATATTATATTCCATGTTAATTATATTATATATAATTATTTAAAAATTATTTTTGAGATGGAATTTTTTAAAAACATGATTTCTGGAGTTAAATTAAATCAAAATACTCTTTTAATATATCTAGTAATTCGAATTTGGATTTGATTAATTATTAATTTAAACCAGATCTAAACTTAATCTAAAAATTATTTGGTTAAGTTTGAATCAAATTTATGTGTTATAACCACAAATAATTTTTTGTTAAGTATTAAACATCTTTATTTTGTAAATAATTATTATAGTAATTAAACTTTAAATTCTAAAACAATATTGATTCAGCTGGTTTAAATACTTGTAAATTTTTTTAATCAATTTATTTTAAAACTACTTATTTTTCTTCTAAAAATTACTAACTTTAATTTTTCTATTGGTTGTATTAACAAATTACAAGTATATTAAATAATTAAACAATATAATAAGTTTATTATTTAAAGTTTAAAATTTATTTAATAATTGTTATTTTTTTATGTCAAATTATCTTATTGTATTACTTTTGTATAATACTACTTTACAATTATCTGGTAATCAACTAAAACAATTATATGAATATTTTTTAAATAATTCATATATTGAAAAATTATATTTCTTTAATTTACAAAGTAATTCAAAAATTATACAAGTTTAAATAATATTAAAATCATGTATAACTCTGTTTCTACAAAATATAAATCTAGTATTTTATCCTTAATTGCTGGTTTATATAATAGATCTGCATCAGCAAAATAAATAGAGTGATATATATCAATTAATAATATTCTAAATACATATTGATTATAATTTCCCTGCCAATTATTATTAATTTAGATAAAAATTGATACATATCAGAATTTATTGATTTTAATTTAAATTTTAAAAATATCAATTAATAACAATATCATAATTTTTTATAAGATAAATTATAATTTTTATATTATGTATAATAATTAAAATAAATCGATTTGTTTTTGCATGGTTACAAATTTTTATATTTTATTTTCTATTATCTTTACTCATACCAAATAATATATTTTGTTCTCGTAAAAAAATTAATTGATATGGTTTAATAAGCAATTGAATTAATCCTACAATCAAGTTGGCATAATTTATTTATTTATTTAATCATAAAAAACCATTACACATATGAGAATATTTGTAAAGTACAGATTTTCTCAACTCGACCCACCTATCAACAATTGAAGTCTCTAGATGTGATTTATAGGAGTGATATGTTGTTCCTCTAAAGGATGAGATTAAGATCCCAAACTTTTAATAAGATCAAAATCTGCAAATAATCTCTATAGTCATAACTATACATGTGGCGTAAATTATTTTACTGTTGACTCAATTCCCAAAATCCTCAAAAATAATTGCGTCATGACTTAATTATTTATATGTTT